AAGTCTATTGATGAAATAAGAAATTATATTTCACCAGAAAGTCAACAGTTAATTGATATATATTTCAATTCAAGTCAACCAATGACAAAGAGATTTAAACAAATAGTAAATGAAATTAATCAATTGAGTATTAACAACTTTAATGAAAAATCAGGAGTATTATATAAAATGTCAGTTATCAAACAACGAATTAAAGGTTTGTTCTTCTTATTTGTTTTAATTGAGTTATTGTCAATATTTAATTATTAGATGTCAATGAAGAGATTCGATATCTCAATGAATGTTTAAATACATTAAATGAAAAAGATCAATTAAAAAATGAGTCAAGTGGAGCTGATGAAGTAATTTCTGGAAATGATGGAAATAATTCAGTGATGAGTAATTTAACAAATGGAATTGAAAGTCAAAGTATTAGTCAATCAGCTTCATTTATTCTCTATTGAAAAGTATGTATTGTCATTTTTGGGTTTAAAATCATTTTTATATTCTCACTACAAAAAAAAGGAATAAGAAGAAGAATAATTAATTAAATATTAATGAGAGGAAATTAAATTTCTTCACCACATAAAAAAGAATGAATAATTGTATTTCTCTTTATTATATCAAACCCTCTTTTTTAATACATTCACCAGAATTCTATTCAATTATGTACACACTTCTGAGACTTTGAAAATGGACTGGACGTTTGTTCTTTCTTAGACTGTGTTAACATAACAATATCATATGGTTGAAGTGACTCAACTGGAAATTCTTCTTTGTTGATAGATTTAGCTTCAGGAGATAAACTATTTCTAATGCTCCATTCAGCTGAATCAAAGTAATGACGTTGTCTATTGAGAGATTTTCTCATCATTCCATATTTTTCAGTGTTAGGAGGTTGTGTGGTTTGCATGATAAGATGAATGAAGTTGGTAAGTATTTTTTTTTTATTAAGAAATAATAAAAAGTTAATGTTAAGTATTGTATTTTTAGGAATTTGCTTTAAGTCTTTCAACCCCCCTTTGTAAATTTCATTTGACGTGTTTTTTCAGGTTATTTCTGTACTTTTCTTTATCTTATTGAAAAAGCACAGAAAATATTGTTGTTGGTGTTGAATCTAATTTTATTTATAACAAACTCTTTTTACCTGAACTTTCCTTTCTTTGTTTAAAATATTGAAATTAGTGTTTTCTCATTGGATTTGGATTATTTTTGAAGAGTTTTAGAAAAGAAGATAATAAATAAGTAGTATAACACACAACGAGATTGAAAACGTTATTGGGTTGTTGTTTATTTTAAGACATTTGAATTGTTGTTTATTCCTTTGAAAACACGTATTGTAGTTATAATTGACTCATAGAAGTTAATAGAATAGAAAATTTGGTTCTTTTTAAATAATAAAAATAACTGATTTATAAATAACACTTTTGTCAAAAATAATGGTTTTATGTTTTAATGTATTGGTTTTATCACATATCTTTATTCTTTCTCAGTCAAATGACGAATTTGAAAAGGTGTAGATTCTTGTCATTTCATTAGATGCAAGTCTATCTTTGAAATAGGAATATTGTTATTTATTCTAGTGATTTAGAAGAAAATATAGTTTGTTGGATATTTAGTATGTTATCAGAATGTGATTTGTTGTAATTAATTCTTCATTGAACATTTAATAACAAATTGAGTATTTTATAGATGACACAAGTCTAAAGAATATCAAGAATATGAGAAATGACGCTGTAAGCAAAGAGGGTGGAAGGCATGGCGTATTAAAATAAAGCTTTTTTAATAATCCAAGTTATGAATATCCCCCAAAAATAGGAATTATAATGAAAAGGAGTAAAAGAAATATAAATTGGCTTATGTTTTTTGAGGAAGTTTTTTAAAATTAAAAAGACTATCACTTCAATAATTACATTGCTTAGTCTTAATAAAACATATAACATCACTGTCTTTTAGTTCCATTGGTTTGTTAGATAGCTATTCCCATCAAACATTACTGTAGTTGATGAGATGGTATTAGAACTAAATCCAATTTTAAAAAATAACACAACAAAAATAAAGTGAAGCAAAAAAACTCAGTGTGTTAATTACAATAAAAAGAATATGAAATTGGAAGTACATTATTAAAAACAATAACTAAAACATTTTTTTTTTGAATAAAAAATAAAATAATCAAACGAATAAAAAGATATGAAGTAATGGTGTTAAATACTTTAAAGAATATTCAAAAATTCAAATTAATTCACATAGTTATAAAAACGATTTATAAAAAACTAATAAAAGAGTTAGTTTCAAATGAGTGTTAGTGATAAGCCATATAAATTGGTTCTATTAGGAAAAATTGATTCTGGTAAAACTTCAGTCTTAATCCGATTCTTCTCTGGATATTTTGTTCAAATGTATGACCCAGGTATTGAAGATGAGTATCGAACGGTAATGAAAGTTGATGATATTTCTATTATAATAGATGTTGCTGATCCGTGTAGTGGAGATGAGTTTTCTATATTGAGAGACTTATACATAAAGCAGAGCGATGGGTTTATATTAATATATTCTATTACATCAAAAGAATCATTTGAAGAAATGAAAGGAATTTATAAAGAAATTTATCGAGTTAAAGACAAAGATGAGAATGAAGTAATTCCAATTATTATAGTTGGAAATAAATGTGACTTAGAAAATGAAAGACAGGTAACGAAAGAAGACGGTATAGAATATGCAGATAGTGTCAAATGTCCATTTCTTGAATGCAGTGCTAAAACAAATGAAAACATTAATCAAATCTTTGATATAATAACAAGAAATGTAGTTGAATATAAATATTCTATAGAAGAAGAAATCTGGACAATAGAAAAACCTAAAAAGGAGAAAGGGTGTTGTTTATTTTGAAGAAATGAAGTTTTTTTAAGTTAGTTGTTTATCTATATACTATTCAATGTAATATTTATTTATTTAATACAAAATATAGCTTTTGTTGAATAATACATGTGAGTAATTATGGCATAAATCATTCATTACAATTGGTTAAAATAAATAATTTATTTAATTATTAAGAGAGTGTAGTTTGACCAAGTTTCAATACTAAATGACCTTCATTTTCACGAAGCACACTATATGTCATTTACAAAAAAAACAAGTTAGTGTTGACATACAAGACACAATACAAACAAGAATTAATACAGTGTATTTCGTTTATTCATATTATTAGAATCAATATAAGACTAAATGAAGACATGAATTGTTAGTACTATCAAATTTTATTTGAACTAGAGAATAGACAGACTTATAAAAACATATCAAAACGATAATTAAAAAAAAAGATTAAACGGAATCTGATAAGAAAGTCATCCAATGAAAGTGATAACATTCATATAATTTAACTCTCTATTGAACGACAATGCAATTAAAAGGTATATGTTGTGTTCTTCAACAAGAATATATCCTTCGGGAAGTCTTTCATTTTCTTCTACAAAAAAGATGGATAAAAAACAATATCACTTATATAAATTAATTGAACTTGGAATTGGATGGACTTGTTATGTAATGATTGATGAAGTTGGACAAGAAACGTATCACACTGATTATTGTTTTGGATTTAATACAATGATTCATATTTATAATTCAAGAAATGAATTGATAGGAATTATTCGGTTTGTTATATTTCGTTAGTATTTAATGTAAAGATTAATGGTAATTGAGTATTTAGAAGAACAGGTCATAGTTACAAAGTGTATTCCAGACAGTTTCATCTTTATACCATCTATGTTCAACATCATACTAATATGGTGGTGAGAACAATTAATACTTCTGGAAGAGAAGGGAAAGATTTATTAATTTCTAAACAACCAGAATTATTCAGTTTGTTTGTTATTATTTTAATTAATTTTTAGGTAATAATTTGTTTTAGTGGATAAAAAGAAGTACCTCCACTTTACAGAACCTTGTTATCCATCTTCAAAGAATCTACAACTCTTTTCTCCACAAAATAGTTTGTAATTTTTTTTTGTTATAAACAGATTGTCTCATTAAAAAAAAAAAAAAAACTTATAAAGACAATAGAGGCAGTTGTGAAATATGAATTATCAAAACAGAAAGACCATTACTTAATAAAGTCAGTTGAAAGTCTTTCATTTTTTGATTCATTTGTTATTGCAATAGTTCGTTGCTTTGAAATAAAAATTAGATGAAAAGTACATTGCTTTACTCATTTCAGTCAATTGAATTTATTTTCAATCAATTTTGATTGGTTTGATTAATTTGTTTTCAAAATCAAATAATATAATAGTCTTTTGCTTTGCAAATGAGGGTACAGTAACAATAGTAATAGTCTTTCCCATGAAATTAAAACTATCACATTGTTCTGGAAATCCTCCAATTACTATTACATCAGGGAATGGTTCTTCAAGTATAAAAGGATCACTAGATGCAGGAAAACATGGGAATGTAGATGGTGCACAAGGACATAAATGTCCACACTGAAACAATTGTAGAATTACCTCATTAACTGTTTTGAATGTAGTCAATTTCATATAATGTTGAATAACATCTCCTGATAATATTAATGTTCTTACACCATTAAATGATATAATTGATGGATTTGTTGTTGAGTGATATGTTGATTTTGAAGATGCATGTGCAAATATTGATGGATGAATTGGTTGGTAAGGATAGACAGCGTTTGTTGGATCATCACGAGAAGGAATAGTAACAATATTGAGATTATTACAAACAGAGCTTAAAAACCAATCATATTGAGGAATGAAAGAAGGGTCTGAGACATGTTTTCCAATTAGAATAGCATGAGCAATTAATGGGAAAGGTAATTCATTTGATAAGATATTATGAAGAATAAGATCTTTTTTTTCACTTGAATATTGGATGTCATTTACAAGAGCAATATAACAACGAGTCTCATCTTCAATTAATTTAGTTGGTTTTGGTTTATCATAAGGATATAAAATTGATTTTATTTCAAAAGATGAATCATTACTTAATTCTCCAATTACAGCCAATGCTGTTCCACTGACTATATGAGCTAATTGATCTTTATCAATAATTAAATTTACATGACTTGTTATATCTTCTAAATAACAAGTATCTGAGTCATCAACATATGAATCTTCATCAAAACTAATTGAATCAACACTTTTAATGCTTTTGTATTGATTTAACAATGTAGGAATCTTTTTTGATTTTTTAAATAACGTACCAATAAGAGCTACTCTTCCTTGTGGAATATGTGATAATTTCTCAACAATACAAATATTACTATCTACTTTTTTTACTGAAATTTCTAATAATGGTCTTAGTCTCTTCAATCGATCAAAGTAGATTGTACCATATTGTTCAGTATATTCCATTTTCTCCATCAAAAACGAGGTTTTCTCAATCACAATATCTACTTCTGGTCTTTTCATTCCTTTTAGAATTTTTTGTTTTAAGATTTTTTTTGAAGATGAAAAAGAAAAATAAGATTAAAAACTTGTATTTTGTGATTTAAACATCTTTCATGGAAGTTGGCTCTTTAAATGTGATTGAAGCTATTGCCTTGGGAGAAAATGAAACTGAAGTACCTAAAAAACGAGAAAATAAAAAAGATATTGATGATTTTGTAAAACATACTATTTGGATTACATACAGAAAAAATATGCCTTTAATTAAAGAAAAAACTACAGACTCAGGATGGGGATGTATGATTAGGTCATTACAAATGGCACTTGCACAAACATTTCTTTCAATTGTTCTTGGAAATAACTGGAAATATGAAGATAATTGTATAAATACAGAAAGGAACATTTTTCATATAAAATCAATTATTAATTTGTTTGGAGATTCAACTGGAAGTTTATTTTCTATTCACAGGTTAGTTGCAAGAGCATCTACAAGAGGAGTTACTGAAGGGCAATGGTGGGGACCATCATTTGCTTCTGATATAGCTGCAGAACATATTAATGAAATGAGAGTCTTTAGAACACGTGGGTATGTTGCTAAATTAGGAAGTATTATTGGATCGAAGATTGAAGAGTTGATTAAAGATGGTGGGGGATTTAATCCATGTATAATCTTTGTTCCATTACGACTTGGTCCAGAATCACCTGAAAACGAATTTAAACCATTATTAAAAACAATTTTTGATATTCCACAATGTATGGGAATGATTGGTGGAAAACCAGGATATGCTCATTACTTCCACACATTTGATGGAACTAATTTATACTTTCTTGATCCTCACACAACACAAAATGCAATTGATATGAAAGGAGATTGGTCATATCAAAGTTACTTTTGTAAAGATAATAAAAGTATGCTTTATTCTAAGATGGATCCATCAATATCATTAGTTTTTTTAGTTAAACATGCTAATGATTATGAACATTTCAAGAAATCATTTGAAAATAAAACATTTTCTAAATTATTCACGTTTAAAGACGAAACGGAGAAAGAATTAAATTCAGATGATTTTATATCATTAGATGATGATGATATTGATTTAATTAAATAAAATATGAATTTTTAATACCAACTAGTTATATTTTTTTATCTTTTTTATTCTACTTTATGTAGCAATTGAAATGTTAAAATCGTCATAATATTTTAATTCATTAATTCAGTGTTGCATTATCAAAAAAACAATGTATTTTGAGTAAAGATAATACCAAGCACTCTAATTTATTATATCCATTACTACAAAGAATAATAATAACCTTTATTTATTATTCCTTTACTTCTATAACACTAACTATTTAGATGATTTTGCTTGAGTCTTTGAAAGTTACAATGTCTAGTTATTAATAATCTTCTTTTATTTATTCAAATATAAGACTAATTTTGCTTATTAACACCAATGTTATTTTCATAAAACAAAAGAATAATTACTCTTTTATTAACGTATTTTTGACATAACTTTGATGATTATGCATTTCTTTTACAAATACTTTATTTCATCTTTATCTAATTATTGTCTCAGAACAATAGTTTTATGCTTAATTATTTTGATATACAAAAAGCTGTCATTTCATCATCTGAAGTATTGATGAATATCATTAGTTGATGTGATATAACACTTATCTTAAATTAACTCTTTATTCTTTTTTCTTCAAAAAAAGTTCATATCAAACTGGATTAAATGTTCACATTAGACTCACATGAAATTCACATGAGAAAGATGGTTAATTTCTACAAAAGAAGACAACACAAAAAAAGTTTGTTTGGTGTCTAGGAGAAGGGTTAAATGGAAAGAAACAGAATATGAACTAACAATACTTCTCTTTTTTGTTGGTAGATTATGATAAAAAAAATAGTAATAGAAGAATGTGCTTTTTTTGTTTGTTTAAGTCAGAAGGAAAGAGAAAATAAGAAGAATAGAATTACATCATATTTCTTCTTCTATTCATTGTGGTATTTAATTTTTAGATCCTCATAAATCTCATTAATTCACTTCTTATGATTAACACACAACATAATATTCATAGTTTATTGGGGAATGTGGAAATACGTTCTATAATCCAATATTTAGGATCAATTAATGATTTAATAACTTTTACAATGATTAATAAGAAATGTCAAAAAGTCATTACAACACTAACAACTAACACCAATATCAATCATTCATTTACTAAAAAAGAAATTATATTATCACCTAATTTAAAGACAATTAAAGGTAAAATTAATGATATTATCAATGCTGTTGGTATTAAATATGCATTAAATAAAAATATTGAAGTGAGTATTGAAGATACAGATGATGCAATTCAATGGGAAGGTATAGCTGCTTTATGTTCTCAATTTACAACAGTAAGATATGTATATCCCCATTTTCTTGGACAAGACATTCTTCGTCTTCAAGGAATATTTGAAAGAGCAAAACAAGTCAAATCAATTAATGTTATTTGTGATGCTCTTGCTAAAGTATTAACTCAAGAAAAAATACATGAAATTGTTTCAACATTTAGTGTAAAGCATTTAATCATCAGTTCATCAGATTTAACAAATAACAAACATAAAGAAGTACTTAATACATTTACTAAATTATTCAATCCTGAAATTGGATTTATAATTATTAGTAAAGCATATTGTTATGAACAAATTATTGAAATAAAACAATTATTACCAACACAATGGAAAATTGTATTAGATGATCCATTACTTGTATCACAAGCAAAAACAAGTGATATTTTATTATCTTCAGGAATATGTTCAAAAGGGTATTGTATTGATGACAATTATTATGAACAAGAAGAATTAAATGAGAATGGTAATGAACAAAGAGAGATAAACAAATTAAATGAAGAACAATTCAAATTTATTCAATTATATTGTCCTACTATTACTTTAAGATATGCTAATCCTTATAGTTTTATTCCAAAAAATACATATAAACTTAGTATCACTGGTCAATTACCTCTTGAAGTAGAAAATCAAGTTGAATTAAGACAATTAGTATTTAAAGAATCTACATTAGAGAAAAGAACACAATACAATTTATGTAATCTAACGAATTTAACTTCTTTAGTTTTTCAATCATATGAACGAAGAAAAAGAATTGTTGGATTTCCTTTGTCTTTAAAAAGATTAGAAGTTACTTATGACCAAGAAGATGATCAAGAAGACTCTGATCTTCCAAATCCAGAATATCATCCATTAGGATTAGCTTCTCTTACACAACTCACTTTTTTAAGAATGTTTCATTATAAAAAATCATGTATTCATCTTCCAGAATCTATTGTTTCTGTAGAATTAAAGTATTGTAAAGTAACATCGTTAAGTCCTTTAAATCAAACAAAACATCTTGAATCTATTTCTCTTTATTCATGTAATATTAAAACATTAGAAATAAGTAAATCTGTTAAAAATGTTAAACTTATTAATTGTACTGAACTAAAACAATTAAAAATTGATGGTGAAAATACTCAAT